GGAGCTTGAAAGGACATGGCACATTCAAAAATGGCACATAGGTGGAGTGATGGAAAGTGCGAGCGATAAGGCTAGGAAGATATCTGGGTGCTTTATAAAACTTATACTTGATTTTGTAAAGAACTGGGAATGATAATTCATTTTTGAGAACAGAAAGGAATGAACAGATTTGTGTTTTAAGAAGGTAATTCTAAGAGTTTGTGAAATCAGTAACTATAGTTCTCCTTAGCCAAGAAAGATAAACTATATCAACAGAGCAACCAAAAAAAAAAAAATCAGAAACTTCATTTTCAGAAACTTCATTTTCAGAGTTCCCATATATAAATATTAGGATTAGGATTTGGGCTGTTGATGAGGCATGTTGGGTTCCCAATAGCTGCCACAGGCCAACATTCAATAATGTAACCAGTGGAAACTATACAACCATTTAAAATCTTTCTGTGACCTATTTTAGCAACTTCTTTGTACTGACTAATCTTGCTAAAGGGTGAATCATAAATTCAGCAAGAGACCATGTCCTGGTGACCTCACTTGTTCTAAGCCTGCAGGAATATTCCCACCTCTATTGGCTCCAAGGCTTCTGAGAAACATCATAATTGAAAAAGTAGTCATTTTAGTATAAGTCCCAAATTTGGCTTTTTTTTTTTTTAAGTGAAAGATGGGGGGAAAAGGGAATCAAAACAGAGTAACATGAAACTCAAGATAAAGAAACCATACTGCCATGGTTTTTCTAGCTCTAAAGAAAATCTCTGCTTGAGATCTTCTCCTAAAGTACTGAGAACAAGAAGATACAGGTATAGACATGGTACCAGGTCACCAGAGAGTGAAACCAAATGAAACAAAAGCCCAGTTGACCACTACCCTTGCCAAGCAGATGAAAATGTGAACACAGTCAGGGAGAGAAAAGTAAGTCAGATTCTGACAGTCTGTTGAGTTTCAGAGCTCCGTAGCTAACGCAAAGGATTTCTTTTAAAGAAAAAATTGATTTTAAAAATTACAACCACAGCAGCTCACCCAAAAGTAGAGTTAGTTACAAGGCACACAGAAATTCTTCTGTTTAAATAATTTCAACCATACCCGTATTTCCATTACGACCTTCCATTATCGGTCTGACTATATATAGTTAATTAGTTCCCATACAACCATGAGTCAGGATCAGTTCAAATATATCCTAAAATGATAGAATTTTAGACTTGGGAGGATCTTAGAGACAATTCAACCTGCTTCACTAGATTCTTAAATCAAAGGCAACTGACAAGCGATTTTCCCAAACCTACATAGTTGAGTCCTAATTGAGTGTTCTTTGCACACACCTTCACCTTCCTCTACTATGTGTATATGTTTATAGGTATAAGTACGTGTATGTGATCTATTTTTCATATCGGTAACATAGCTAGTGTCCACATGTTCATATGATTTTTTATGTTCTTGCTATAATTCGCATTTATATTTGGATTGTAATTCTATGATGTTAGGATCCTGTCTTCCTTATCCTATGGGAAATTCCCTCCTGCCTGTGGCTGAACAAGAACAGGATGGCAGTGATAGAAAAGGGAAAGGGTTAAGTACATATATTAATCAAAAGCATGCCTGTACAGAACTAAGATTAGTGCTAGCACAAACAATGAGCTGTTCTGGTTGTAGGATTAGGACCATCCCCCAGGGCTAGTTCCTTGTCATACCTTGCTACAGCTGCCCACAGCATGGCAGCAAGGATGGGAGCTGACCATGAAGAAGCTTTGTCTCCACTACCTGTCTTGAGGATTTTTAGAAATAACTGTTCTGACATGTGGTGGTGGATGTGCTAACTAGACAGGGGGAATCCTTGCACTATGTATATGTATATCAAATCATCACAACATACACTTTAAATGCTTTCCACTTGGTCAATTATACTTCAATAAAGCCGAGAGGAAAAATCTGCCTATTTCCATCTTGTCTTAGATTTAGTGCTTCCCAGTGATTTAAGATCTAACCTTTTCAACATTGTCATCCCACCCTCAGATAGTGCAGACAGTCTTAACAGAGTGGGATTCAAGCCACACCCACCAACCTAGTAGGACCCACAGACAGTACCCTTCATCTACTTAGCACTGGCAACATTCCCTTGTATGAAGCCTGTCCTGGGTCTGTCTCTGCCTGAGGCAATGAAATTTCTAGAATGCATTCTAAATTTGCTTCTAAGTAAGACTGTAAAAGGCAGCCAAAGATGGACCAAAACCCCAAAGCCGTCTTCCCAGAGTTACAAACTCACGGGGCCAGTTCACTTAAACTCTTCCACATAGCCAAAATTCAAAAGTATGAAGGGCAAAGTTACAGTCTTCCTTTCATGGACTCACTGGTCCTCCAAAGAACTGTTGCCAGCTCTGCACTGACCATATATTTTAGTGAATACGTTAAACTCAAAAAACAATCCTTACTTAGCTAGGCTGCTTTGTGTGACTCACTTTCTCCTTGTTAGGGATCTCCTGAGGGATTAATTGTAGTTTGATGGACATCATCCAGGTCTGTCTCTTCCACACCACTTCCCATCCTCAACACCCACAGGGCCTGATTGCTAATAAGGCTTTCAAAGTAGAGGGTTTTGGAGACCTAGATCTACTGGCTTCCAAGGAAAGGGTTTATAGCTCCAGCTTAGTGGTTAAAAGTGTGGACTCTGGAAAGACTGCCCAAGTTCAAATCAAGGATCCACGTAGTACCAGCTATGGAACTCTAAACATATAACTCAAGCTCTCTGTGACTCAGGTTTCATCATCCTCAAAATGGGATCAGTAAAAATATCTATATTATCAGAGTATTCTATGAATTAAATAAGCTGCTACTTGTAAGAAACTTAAAATAGTGCACAGCGTTTGTTACTGTCACCATTTTTCCCTTCTCTTCCTACCTGGGCTCTCTTACCCTGAGAACAGACACGCTGGGTGCCTGGGTGTTGGCTCTGATAGTGACAAGGAGGCTGCTAGTCTGTTTGATGTATTCTGCTCTCATATATCCCAAGCAAAACTAGGAAAGAAATGATCTTCAAATCCAAAGCAATAATCTTGTATAAAGAAACACTATTAGGGAACTGGGAGAAGTTGAGGAGGGATGCAAAATTACTTCAAAGGACTGCCAGCTTTACAAAGACTAAAGAGCAAAGCATAATTATCGCACCAGGCTTTGTGCTCACCAAGCAGCAGTCACATTCCTCCACAAACGGGAATCCTAACTGTACCTATGCGACCCGGGAGTCTGAGAGGTATCTGGATACTCCAAGGCCAGGGCACCAACATTCTGCCAATATGAGGGGCCACGTTATACACCATATCTGTTTGATTCTCTGTTATCACAAAGATAGTTCAGTGCAGCCTTTGAGATGAAAGCAAATCTTCATTTTTCACTGCTGCTAAAGAGTTTCACAGAGAGGATGTGCAGGTTATGAAATGCTAGATGATGGCACAAGGGCCTCAGAAAAGAGGGTAGAACTTTTTTCTAGAAAGACACAAACTGGCTAAAGAAGTTACTGTTATTAATTTGTCCACTTATCAGGATTACACTCATTTCACATTTTTATTTTTTTTTTAATTTTTATTTATTTATGATAGTCAGAGAGAGAGAGAGAGAGAGGCAGAGACACAGGCAGAGGGAGAAGCAGGCTCCATGCACCGGGAGCCCGATGTGGGACTCAATCCCGGGTCTCCAGGATCGCGCCCTGGGCCAAAGGTAGGCGCTAAACCGCTGCGCCACCCAGGGATCCCTCATTTCACATTTTAAACAACTTTTTTTGAGCATAAGCTATGTTCAGAGCACCATGTCAGGGACTGAGGATAAAATAAAGAGTAAGAAACAGTCCCTTTCTGACCAGTAGAAGACAGTAAACAGCTGATCACAAATCAGTGAGAGAAGGGAATGAATGGTTCACTTCCCACTAACAAACTCATTAATAATATGAGAAAGCACACTTCAGGAAGGCCGATTTAAGAAAAACTTATTGTGAGGCCCTTTTATAAAGAGACTATGCCTAGGAAAAGTAGGAGTGATTGGTAGTGTCACTTTGATTCTCATCGAGGAGTTTCAAATTTAATCAATAATAGTAATATTATTAAACGTTTAAGATAGCTAAAAGAAAATGCTTGGGGAAATCAAGAGATGGTCTGTCACACCTCACAGAATTCATGTGCACATGTACATGTATGAAGTACAAAGAAAAAAAGAAATTCAGGGCTCCACCCCATGAGGTCTCCCACCTTCTCCTCCTGCTACCCTCCATGGGGTCCTCTGTTCCCCCCTGCACCTCTTATCTCCTCACCTTCATTCCCACTATAATCCTGACTGAGTGTCCTCTACTGCAACCCCCTTTCTGCATCTTAGTGTCTTTTGTGGTCCAGCTGAAGCTCCATGAACTGTCATAAGCCCTTCCTGACAAGCCCAGCACAGTGTCTTCCTCCTTCTTCTGTCCTCTCATAGTCACTGTCACTTGCTCATTGAAAGTATAATATAAAGTAAAACCCAACAATATAAAGTAAAACCAAAGCTCCCTCACAAATATTTCAGTTGACTATTAGTTTCTCTCACTCCTGGTACATTCTTGAGGGTTTGCTTGTGTCTGATCCCCTTGGCTAAAGCAAGAAGTTCTTTAAGGCAGGGATGATATCTTTATGCATCTTTAAACGCTTCATAGCACAAGACTATGCCCAGTGTGTGATCTGATGAACATGTACTGATGCGAACAAGCAGTATCAAACTGTACAAAAGCAAATACTACATGAATTAGGAGACTATTCAGATTCTAACACATAAGATTAAAAGGGAGATTAACCACAGTCATCTTTTCACTCAGCACTTCTTATGAAGACACCAAGACTGAGGCTTAAGGTAAAGTGTGAAAGCAAATGGAAGAGGGAGCTTAATTAGCAAACCAGAGAGGGACACTGGAGAGTACACTTCCTCTGAGGTAAATGGAAGAGAGAGACAAAGGAAAGTCAAAGATTGTTCAATAGCAGTCAGATATAAAAACATACCAGTATTTCCTTGAGCATCTTCGACCTTATTTGGTGAGGATGACAGAAAAGCTGGTCTGGTGAAATGACGGCCTCGAAGACATGGCTGCTGCTGCAGAGGCATGGTTTGGAGGACTATCCTCCAGTCCACCTGGGTAATATCTGACCTTGACCGAGTATGCCCCGGCTTAAAAGTAGAGGTCTCATCCAGTAAGTCATTCACGGAGCGAGGCCTGTCCCTCCGACGCTGACAGATGTTGAAAAAGTTAAAGGTCGATGCTTCCTTTTGTTCCATCCATGAAAGATTATCTGGAGCTGTCCCTTTCTGGACCATAAACTGTTCTTTGGCAGGGAAGACATTTTGAGCTTTGGTTTCCAAGAGCCTGCTCTTACAGTGGTCCCAAATCAGGCCCCCCTTGCCCAGGGAGGCAACATTTCTGATAGCACCATTATCTGTTATGTTAGTGAGAACTTCATGCCCCACCAATTCGGGGACTTCCTGAATCCCATAAACCTCAGCTTGCTGCACAGCCTTCTCTAGCTTACTGTCAAAAGTACTAAAGAAGTCCTCAGTAACTTCCAAGGCCGGGCTGATATCATCCACTTCCAAAGCTTCCATGTCACAGGCTCTAAGAGGCCTAAAGCTCCTAAGCTGGTTCAGGAAAGGGCTTCATTGAACATTCATTCACCCAACAAAAGGAGATGTGCTTCAGCAATAGAGTTCTGGAAACAACTGAAAGAAACCTTCATTCGACTGCCTTCAATAGGCCAAGCACAAGGATAGTTGATGTTTTTTTCAGTCATTAAAAGCATTTGCTAGCAGCTAATGGCCATTAGCAGAGGTATGGGGTGACAAATGTTCCTTTGAGATTATTCTTCATTGAGATCTGTATAAAAACAACAGGAAGTGCTTGTCAAAGCAATGCCATGAAATCCTTAATTTCCTGGAAGAGAAGAAACAGCACAACATTGGCACATGGTTCACTGTATTGATAGTACATGAATCTGCCCAACAATTTCCCCATCTCTACGTCTCTTTTATGGCAGACATGCCCCAAGGTGGACAACACCTACACAGAAGTTCATTGTCAAGAGTACACAGCACTACCGGCTTTGTGTGAGAACCTACATGGAACAGGGTGAAACACTTGATAAGGGGAATTAAGGTCAATAGCTTTTACTCATACAGAAAAGCCTTTGAGAGCAGTTGTGAAAAGACTGTCCTGGCAAATCTCTGTGATACACTGACCTATAAAACAGTAAGCAAAGACTAAGAATTCTGTGTCTGGGCCTACATCATAATCAGTCGAAAAGTCATAAATACACAAGTCCTTTCACAAACTTTGAAAGCACTGATGTTTGTCAGGCTAAAAAGTGCAAGGGGGAAATACCCAGGGGGGCTCTGCCCTTTGATTAAACCCAAATGTTACTGTGTTTGTGCTTCCCAGGCTTGGATTATATAATACCTAATGCCTCCGGACTTCAGAATTCCTCCAGTCAGCTTAAAAAAAAGGTTTTAGGCTCCAACTCCCTGATGTTTTTGAGTATTGGCCTAGGAGTACAGGTCCAGCCTCAGGGCTGAGCAGAAAATACCTTTCATGAGCACTAACTCATTATCTCTTGGGAAAGATCTCCAAAGTCAGGCCTGATGAGCACAGTCCTTGACAGTAATGCTGTCCAATATGGTAGACACTTGCCATATATGATTATTTCAATGTAAACTTATCATAAAAAAATAAAGTTTCTCAGTCACACTATTCATGTGCTCAGCAGTCACATATACCTTTGTATTTGTACAAAAAAATGAACAAACAAAACAACTATGCAAAGGCTTTTTGCCCTTAACTACTTAAAAGTAGGTAAAGTTAGGCAATTAGCAACACTTCTATTTTTTTTGTTTAAAACTGAGCAATTTTATGGTTAATTAAACTCATTTTTAGCACACAGGTCATTAACCATTACATTTAAATCAACAGTACTAACAGTATATTAGTATATACAGCCCTTTATTTTAAAATGTGTCAAGACATTTGCAGTTCAGAGGAACTCTGTGGTTAACCTCTTGTGAAGTGATAATGACTATGAATTTGTCTACATTTTATATTTTGATACTTATTATATTAGCCCTCATGCAGTAAGGCACTGATTGACTTCTAGAGATAAGTATCAGTTGTAAGAGTTGCGAACAGGGTTTCTTTGCCTGTGTCTTCAGCTAAGCCTTAATTAAGCCTCCTGAATTATGCAACAGGGTTTCACTACTTCTATAATTTTAAAACATGGGATTTTTAGTTTCATCCTCTATACTAGAGTCTATGAAAAAAATACGTAATTATGAAACTTTTAGTTCTTTCTTTACTAAAACTTCAAATGAACAGAATATAAGTGTTTAAAAAAGAAACAACAGATTCAAAATGGAGTCACTTGTGCAGAATCCGACATCAGCAAATCAAGACTATCTAAACATCAGTACTTTCGGCCTTTCCCGGGAATGTGACCTTTAACCAGTTAATCTGGAATTACCTAATCAGCACTACTGAGGTAATCTGCTTGATAGATCCCTGCTCTTCCCCCAAAGGAAGGTGACCTTCTATCCCTTCTGCCTATAAAAGACTTCCATTTTACAGAGCTTTCTATTTACTAAATGGTATGTCACCTGATTCATGAATTGCTGAATATGGCCAAACTGATCTTCAAGTTTACTCACTCAAATTTTGTTTTTAACATGTTTCTCATTTTATAGAAGAGACACCAAGGTGCAGAGCAGTTAGTGATTCATTTAAGATGATACCACCCATTTTCCTTTCCTTACCTAGTGCTTACAGTTCAGTCTTTAATCATATTAGAAAGGGAGAGTAAATACCTTCAAAGTGATTCTTTCTTTTTTTAAATCAAAATGTCTAGAAATATATTCTTTGTGTTCTCTGTGTAAGTATTGATAGGCTGGTTAGATGCATATAACCACTGATGGCCAGCACCGCTATCTTGTGACTCACATATCCTAAAACCATAGACTGTTAGAGAAGGAAGGAAACTTTGAAGTCATCCTTCCATCCCCACCCTTTCACGGAAGGGGACACTGGGGCCAAGAGATTATGTGATCACATGGATACTTCTGTATGCATTAGAAAGTCTTCAAAAGAAGTGCCCTTTGAGTTGAGCCTAAGAAATTTAGAAGGTATTTGCCTAAATGGCTAGGAACAAATTATAAAGACTAAATTATTTTTTGATTAGGAAGGGATTTTCAAGTTTATTATATGACTTTCCATAGGCAGTGTGGTCAGCAATATAGTGGAAAGGGTCTGCACTCTAGAGTCAGTTCTGGGTTCACATCCCAATTGTCTCATGAGCTATGTGATCTGGGGGAATATTTCCCTGACCCATATCCACTCTACCCCAAGTCTTTCTCTAGGCTAACTTGTACTTTCTCTTATAGGAATTTTGAATTTCACTATTTAGCGCTTTCCATTGCCTCTGTTTGGAATTTGTGCAGCTATTCCCTTTCCTTTCTGATGGAAATATGCATTTAACCTTCTAACCACACCCTAGACTTCTACTCTTCTCTATGTGACCCAGCATTTTCCTGCCACTCATCCTCTTCTTCCTCCACTCAGTAACATAGGCCTTTCAGTCCCTCCTTTTTGACCTCCAGGCCTGTCTATGATACTGTTCTCATTGCTGGAGAGATTATTCCCTCCCTCACTCTTTTGCCTATCTAATGCCAAAATAACCTTCAACCTAACATCAAGTGACACATATTCTCTAAAGATGGCCACAACAACAACAAAAAAAAAAGATGGCCACAACAAATTCCACCCTACGTGCTTTTCTGCGATGAGACCTTGTTACTCCTCCATCTAGAACTGACTTTATTTTTCCACTCCCTTGAATCTGGGCAGGACTTGTGATGTTTTGATCAAGAGAGTGTGGCAGAAATGATGCTGTGCCCACTTGAGGCATAGCCCTTACCTGGCCTGGCAGCTCCCTCTGCCTAGCTTTTGGAGCTCTAAGCTGTTATCTAGGAACTATTTGCTAGAAAGAGAGGTCACGTTGCAGCAGGAAGGCACCAGAATGTGCATGAAGAAGCCATCCTGGAAGACAGCCCAGTCAAACTTGCAGAGGATTCCAGCCCCAGTCAGTATCTAACTGCAACTCATAAGAAATCCCAATTGAGGATTGTCCAGCTGAGCCTAAGTAGTCCAGAACTGTGAGAGGCAATAAATTGTTTAAATACTAAGTTTGGGAGTATTTTGTCACATATCAATGACTAATCAGGACTTTTCGCTTCTTCAGGGTGTCCCAGACTAGGTGAAATGTCCTTAAGTTTCCATGACATTTGCATGTCTGTAAGTGATAGGCTTTACATTTGTAATTAGCAGTTTCAATGTCAATAGCCCCTCTTAGGCAGCAGCTGCATCCTTTGGACTTCCAGAACACAGTTGCAGTTTAATAAATAGTTTTTTTTTTAATATTTTTTTTCTTTATTTATTTATGATAGTCACAGAGAGAGAGAGAGAGAGAGAGAGGCAGAGACACAGGCAGAGGGAGAAGCAGGCTCCATCCACCGGGAGCCTGACGTGGGATTCGATCCCGGGTCTCCAGGATCGCGCCCTGGGCCAAAGGCAGGCGCCAAACCACTGCGCCACCCAGGGATCCCCGTAATAAATAGTTTTTAAGTAAATTAATGAATTATTTTTGAGTGGCTATCTTTAGGATTATTAACATTGTTCCCTTTTCCTCTTTTTCCTTTGTTACGAGTACCTCTGACTTACCACTTCTTACCACTTGAACAACCACTGGCAATGAACAGTAAAGATAGCTGTTGCTTTAGCAGTAGCCAAAACAAAAAAAAATTACTCTTTAATATATGAATTGACAGACCAGTGTGAGAGGTCCAGCTCTTTGCCTATATTTGCACAGTACAAATAAATAGCTAAAAAGAGTTCTTGGGAGTTACAGTGATTTATTCATTCCATAAATATTTATTGAAGCAGCTACTGAGTTCTAAGCACAGGTGCTACTACAGTGAACAAAACAGACATAAACCCTGCTCTCATGGAACTTACAGTATGCCAGGCATAGCTCTAAATGCTTTCGGTGTCTTACCTTCATGTGTAAGGTGTGGCTGAGAAGGCCTCCTGAGAAGGTGGTGCACTCCTCTATACCCTGCGTCAATCTGACCCATCCCATCCCAAATCCCAGCCCTCTATGAAATCTTTCCTGAGGACTCAGTCCTTTCAGATCTCTTCTTTCCCTGAATGTCTAACCCATTGCTGAACAAGTCAACTTTGTAAACCACCTTTTCCCTTTCAATTAGACTGTGAGCTTCTTGAGGGCAAGCCCCATCTCCACATCCATGTCCCTGTTCCACAAAACCAGAAAGGTCTTCAGCCTTTTGCCTTCCTCCCTCTAATGCACCTTCCACATCACTTCTTGTAACCCTTCAGAGTCTCTTCAGTAGAACAAGAGTCAGCAAACATTTTCTGTAAAGAGTAAGTAGGTTTGGCTTTAGGAGCCATATAGTTGCTTTTGCTACAACTCACCTCTACTGTTGTAGTGCAAAGGCAGCCATAGGCAATATGGAAATGAATGGGCATGTCTATGTCTGATAAAACTTTACTTACAAAACAGGCTACAAAACAGGCTGATAAACAGAATGTGGTATATCTGTACAATAAAATATAATTCAGCCTCAAAAAAGCAAGGAAATCCTGCTATATGCTATAACATGAATGAACTGTGAGGACATCATGCCAAGTAAAATAAGCCAGTCACAACAAGACATAATACATGATCCAATGGAGATGAGAAATCAAACGTAGTCTAATTCATAGAAACAGAAAGTAGAATGCTGGTTTACCAGGGGCTTGGGGGACAGCAAAGAGAGCCGCTGGTGTTTAAGAGGTATAGATGTTCAGATTTGCAAGATGAAAAAGTTCTGGAGACC